ATCCTTCCCCTGGAGTAGAGAGGGAATGGAGATTTTGCAGTATCCTTCCCCTAGAATGGAGTAGGAATGGAGATTTTGCAGTATCCTTCCCCTGCTACGCCCACCAAGCCATGCCCACAGAACCGATAGTTTAAAAAAAATGAATTTCACCACTGGCCTCAACTCTATAGAAGAGATAAGATATTGTTAAGGTGTGCAAACAATCCTTGAGCTTGAAACAAGCCCTCTGATATTCAACCCAAATGCTCAAGATAACCCTTCTTGAATCTGAACCAACTGTTTTGGTTTTAAGCTCAGAATTTAAACTCAAAACTTTAAGTTCAAAAGTGTTTTGTGTATTTCTAAGACTGGACATAGAAGGGATGAGAATAATCCCGTTTACACTTTACTGACATGAGGATAGATCCTCCAGAAAACTATGGATTAAAGTCAGAGTTGCAACAGTTCAAAGAATGTGTTCACAAATCTGCTTGCTTACTGAATTAACCCATTCTCTCAGTTTACACAGTATTGTAAACCATAAACCAGCCGGAGAAGTTGGGTTTACGTAGCACTTTAACACACACATACCTCCAGTGAGATTAAAAATAAACCAAATTTCACATAGCCACGAAATCTTTTTTTAAACCAAGCGATGCAAAGTGTGCTGTATATACAACACGAATACTAGTTGTATTCACAACAACCGTGCTCAAAAGAGGTGTCTATTTCACATTTTAAGGAGGCTAAAAATATAAACCCTTCCCAGTCCATTGGAAACGTGAGCATATACAATCAGGAAATAAAATAACATGCGCTCTAAACGTAAGAGTGAAACAGACTTTTATTAATGTTTAGAAGTGTGGAGCCCCATGAATTGAGAGTTCAAAGAGAGCTGGATGGTGGGATCCAAGGTATATATTTCACATGAATAGCTAAACCTTCTGTGAGCGAAAAGGGCTATCATGTTTCTTCCCAGATCCTCTGCCAATTTTTTTTTGAAGCATCTGTAAGTTCACTCATCATTCATTCCCCCTTAGGACAGTGGGAAACATTTGAACTGGGGCACCAAATGCAATCTTTTTTCCCCCTCTCGAGGGGAAGTGCAGATCAGGAAAAGTGCAAAGCACCCACCAAGTAGTGTTTCTTTACCCCTGTTCTGTATAAAATATAATAGAAGATATAAGGTGGTGACATAAGATGAGATAAGATAATAAGACAAGATCACCTTTACTGTCACTTTTTTCTGTGAACACACTGGCACATATTAAAAAATGAAATTCTGATGCCCGCTCTCCAAAGAATACATACAGGAATATATACAGCTGTCAATTGACAGCTATTCACTTAGGGACTCTTCAAAGTTACAACAACACTGACAGGACCATTTTTCACAGTTACAACCATTGAAGCATCCCCATTGTCATATGATCCAAATCCAGATGCTTGGCAAGTGACTCATACTTATGACAATTGCAATGTCCAGGGATCACACGTTCATCTTTTGCAACCTTCTGACAAGCAAAGTCAATGGGGAATCCAGATTCACTTAGCAACTGCATTACTAATGTAACAACTGCAGGGATTCACTTAACAACTGTGGCAAAGAAGGTTGTAAAATGGGGCAAAACTCACTTGACAAATGTCTCACTTGGCCACAGAAATGTTGGGCTCAATTATGGTTGTAAGTCCAGGACTATCTGTGTCTGTATGTCTGTGTGTATGGAGAGGGAGGGAGAGGGAGAGGGAGAGG